GTGATCATCATCACCCACACCTACATCACCCAGACCAACAGCATCATCACCATCACTCACATCTTCATCATTACCCACACACCATCATCATCCACACCTACATCATCACCATCATCCAGACCTTCATCACAACCACCACTCACACCACCATCACCATCACCCAAAGCTTCAGCCACCCACTGCCGAGACTGTCAGCCCTTACTCCTGGATGGTGACGTGGGTGGGAATCTCCATCCACAGGCGAGCGTAGCGCACGGGCACCACGGCCTCCTGAGGGTCGCGATCCACGTGCATGTGCAGCATGAGACGGCAGAAGGCGGCGCGCAGGTTGTAGGGCAGCATGTCGTCGAACATGCAGCGCAGGATCAGGTCCACCGGCAGCTGGCTGGACACCTGGTTGATGGCCAGATACTGCCGGTCCAAGCACATTTTGGCAAAGAGGTTCAGCTGGTATCTGCAAGAAGGAAGGAAGCGAGCGGCACCCGGCGTCACTGCTAGGCCCGTGGGAAATTCATGACAAATTCGGTACCTAGAAAGATTTCACCGCAAAACCAACAGGGGGCACTGAAATTCTACCATCTCTGTGGGACCAAGGGCCGGCACGGGCACCTGTAGTAGGTGATGATGTCCATGTCCATCTTGTGGTTGATCTTGGCGTCCTGCGCTAGGTGGCGGATGGACTTGCCGTGCGGCTCCTTGTGGCTGTCGATCCAGTAGAGCCATACCTCCTCCTCCTCCCCCTCGTCCTGCTGAAGCACGTTCTCCAGATTGGTGTCTGATTGGGTGATCAGCCTGGGAGGGGGCAGGGAGGAAGCGGCGTGAGTCTTGACAAGACCACCGGGGATGAGACACTTCTAATTTGTTTGTTAAAAAAATACAAGTAATTCATTCAGCATTAAAACCACAAGATGCTGTATAACATGATGTCATGTTCATCCATAATGCATATGACACATTTGATACTTTAAAAAAAAAAAAGCTTTGTACTATGGGTCAATCGAGCTGGGCAGGTGCTATATAAGCTGAACTCTTCACGGCTTCACATTCATTGCTCATGCAAATACCTTCAGCCGCTACAGTCAATGATGTCACTTATAGGGAGATCTGAGTCGACTGCAGCAGAGATCAATTGCTCAGATCCAGGGCTCCGTGATGACTTTGCTTAGCACAACCCCTTGACCCCCCCCCCCCCTCCCCGAGGCCAACAAAATAGGACAACGAAACTCACTTGGTCTGGATGAGGATGTCCGCGTTGGAGGGGTTGAGCACAAATTTGCAGATGAGCTCCTGGGTGACGGGAATGGCTGTCTTATTGGACACACACAGATCTGACAGGTAGTCCAGGAACCTGAGACGAAGAGGAGAGGGGTAACGATTCCACACACCGCATCTCTAACTGTGATGCTTTCAGCATAATTAATTATACACCTGCTCTTTTCCTCGTTGGTACCAACAGGTGACTTCTTGATTGCACTTCAAGTGCATGTTTGTCAGAAAACAATGTCAATGCCTGAACGTCGTCAAACCAAAGCTAACAGCCTGAATTCTGCCCTCTGTGTGAAATGTTGGCAGGAAAGTATTCATATCAGCGTTGAGCACTTAACCCTTAACCCTGAAAAAACGCTCCAGGGTCAATGTATAAATGGCTAACCCTGTGGTCTTACGGCAAGCTTCACTGTCACCTGTTTAAGAGTGTACAGACGGGACGTGCAAAAACGAAAGAATCCCTATGTACTCATACTTGTACAAATGGCTAACAGACCATCATAAAACAAATTCTGTCCATAGCAAAAAGCCTTTCAAGAAAAAAAATAAATAACCCATGTTTGCTAATTGCTCGAATGAGAACACAATGGCCTGCTTGCATATGTCACTTTTGGACAGAAGGGGGCGCCAGAGGCAGCTCCAGCGGACAGCCTGCGGACCTAGGTTCCCGGTTCCGGCGCAGTAGGCTGACAAAGGTCTCGATCTCCTTAGCCGTGATGTGCTTCTCCAGCAGCTTGCGGTTGTTGTGGAGCAGGGCCGTTATGGTATCCTCGGCTAGGATCTCGTAGCCAATCTGGGACTGCATGATGGAGAACTTCTTTGCGATGTATTCCTGGTGAGGAGGAAGGAGTCCGGGCCGTTAGACACAACATAAGGTTGCCTGTCAGGAAAAGCTGCGGCTTTGAGATTGACGCGGTAAAAAAAAAAAATAACAATAAAACACTAAAGCAGCCCCAAAACCAAGCAACACAGAGCTCAACTGCCGTGCTGGACAAGGCCTGCAGGAGACTGTAAACAGCATCACCGCATTAACCTGTAAACTCTCCCGCCAGCAGAAAGACCAGCTATTTTTAACATCCTATTCATCAGCGACGTGCGGATTAATTTAATTAACCGTGGAACTCTAGGGAAACAAAATTAAGCCCAAAACGAAGTCCTTGTTGCATGTTTCATATAGATTTGTTTTTTTTACTGTTTTGGCTATATTATTCCCCTGATACATAAATAAAATTATATGAATTAATAATGCAGGTTTTTCAGCTCACTGCTGTAAAGAAAGCACACACACAGATACACAATGTGTAAAAATAGAGAATGTCAGCATATCACAAACTTGGGCAGATGTGATGCTATTGATATGTTACATAAATAAATCCCTCCCCTTCAGCACAGCAGCCCTCTGATTGGACCTCGGGGATCACGTGACCCTGTGTCCTTGCCTGGTTCTTTCTATAGTCCTGCTGTGAGTGTCGAAGCACCCGGTAGCAGAGCCTCAGCATGTACTTGAAGGGGGCGTAGCGCTGGTCACCCAGGTCCTCCAGTTTCAGCATGGGGCCGTCGGTCCGGTCCGTGAAGGGGGCCTTAAGTATGCCGAAGACCTATTGGGGGGGGAATGCTGAAGTGTCTCCACATTCAAAGCCATTTTTCTGAACTCATTTATCTAGTTACAGGTCGTGGGAGTCAAACTGTAAAGGAGGTGGGTCCAAGCAACTAGAGGCTATGGGAACAAGATATCTGACTGGTTGGTCCTACCTCTTCTAGTTGCTTCGACCCACTTCCTTTACAAACATCCAAATGGTCTCCCAGAGACTGCATTTCACATCTCTACAATAAATGTTATCACGGTTGACTTAACCATTAACAGTTTAGAAAGCACAGGGTACCTTCCACGGTTCAGCAAAGAGATAATGCAGCATTTCTCCAGCAGCAATATGTCTGCCTTCACCGATTTGCTAGCTGGAGCACATGAGCACTAATGCATGCTGGGTAATGCATGTGCCCACCTGAGCCAGGATGTTCTGCTCCCTCATCAGCTTCTGCCTCTCCCGGTCGGGCTTGCTGATCACCACGGAAAGCACGTCTTGGCTGTTGTTGGAGACGCCCGCCACGAAGAAGATCAGGTCCTCCAGAAGCTTGGTGATGAACCTAACGTCGCCAGCATAGGGTGACTTACTTACAGCGTCCATGATCTCATACCTCTGCTCTCGTATTCCATATTCACCAACTGCTCTTCACATGGATACACGGCAAGTGTTTGATTAACACCATTCATTATGGGCGACACGTGACTGAAAGAAAATAGGATTATACAATAGTTTGTCTAAGGTACCGTAAACGTCAAGCTACCGAAAATGTTGGCCAGATTCAATCGTTTATTTGCGCGTAATACAGAAAGTACAGCATTATTTGCAGAGCTGTGGTACTCAAGTGTGGTCCACATATGAATCGTCACCCGCTAGGGTGAATTTTTACTCGGACTTGACTCAAACACTCATGACTCAAAAAAACCTTCCAGAGTCCATAGTACAGGGGTGGTCAGTCTTATCTAGAAAGGGCCGTTGGGTATGCAGGTTTTCATTGCAACTCCCTAATTTGATTACTAATTATAGAGCTTTTCCACTGCCTCCAAGAACTGAGCCATAACTGAGCCATAACTACTGTTGATTAGTTACCTGAGAGTACTAATTGGTATAGACCAGCAGGCACTTCAGAGTATTACAGAAACAACAATACTAGTCGTATGAGTCTAGGTCCAACTGAGTCTAGTAGATAATAGACAAAAGACAGAAGCCTACCTTACCAGCAGAGAGGAAACTCAAGACAGAGCTTAAAGCACATAGAAATGAGTTTCTATAAAAGACACCCACTGAAAGGAAGCACGCTGTGAGGTGCAAATATTGCAAATCATCGATTACTGAGGTGGTTGGCACAACTTTCAATTTCTGCTGACATCTGGAACTGCAAACTCAGTTTGTCGAGCTTCAATGACTGGCCTGGGGAGCAGCTAAAATTTGTTTTACACAGAATCCCAGCGACAGTTATCCAGCTAGCTAGCCGACATCTTTTTAATAATGCTTATTGTTGTAACTTCATTAATGCCCGTGTCCAAAATTCTCTTTTCCACATCACCAATTCGGGTCTCCAGAGAGACACAGCTTTCAGTGAAGTTTGGGGTCAGACCACACGTCTGCACAGGTACCCCCCATCGTGCACGTTTAAGCTATAAAATGCTCACAGCACGTGTGTTTCTCAAAAGAATCATGTCATAGTTGTTGTATAGAGAGTCCCAATCACAGATATTTTACATAGTGTGTTACATAGAAGATCTGCCACAGAACGCTGTGTGTACTTCTTAGAAAATGACGAAAATGCTTAATTTAACATTTTGTTAAATGAAAAAGCCTTTGATACTCTGTATCATTTTAATCATATTCCTTGTTTCCAGAACCAACTGTAAACGTTCAGCACAACACAGTCAGGTTACAGTGATATTGGTAATCTTAACTGACTGGATGGATGGATGGATGGATGGATAGATGGATAGATGGATAGATGGATAGATAGAAACACACCTCTAGTGCATCTATTACATTTGACAAATCATTAATTTCTTAGTTGTTGGCCATTTTAAATAAATTATTTAAATATAAAAAATTGAGGTATAGTATATGTTTAGTGTTCAATTTACAGCTTTTCAATGTAGATTCATAGTCTAGAATTGAACTTGTGTTTCTCTGCACTTGGACTCCGGTGATGGACCTGGTCTCGTCTGAGACACACCCCCCTACTGGACTTGATCTTGAGTCGAACTTGAGTGGTGGTGACTCGGACTCGACGGGTCGTGACTCAGACACGGCATTGGTGAGCTGTAAGGATCACCCAGTGAATAAGGAACCTGCTGGACGGCCACACTGCACACGGCCCGGGTGCGAGAGCAGTTACCTCCTCTCATTCAGAGAGATGTTGCTCTCCTGAAGCTTCCTCACGGTGGACTCCAGCACCTTATTGGCGTCGTTGGCGAAGTCCAGGTCCCTCACCTCAGACAGGGGCACGGAGACAATGGCAAATGCCTCCTTGTCCTCCTTTTTAGGGCAGGTGCCGATCTTTGGGAGTAGCGAGGCGACAGAAGCAGACCGTTACCATAGCGGGGTTCCTCCGCCCATTTCACAGGTCGCACATAATCATCACAAAACAGGACTCCGTGGAACTCACAGCATTTTCCAAAAAGCCAAATGTGTGACCTGTTATTAAACTGAAAATAAGGTTAGCACATCAGTAGAACTACTAGTGCGAGTGTAATTCATTTCCCAATAAACAGATTACGGCAAATAAATGAGACGTCATTTTCACTGCTTTAATTAACTACGTAATCTGTGCTTAGGCTAACAGAGGGGTATAAGGGGGGATTGGGCAAAACCAGAGGGCTTATTAGTGACAGCAAGTGGGCGTGGCCAGAGGAGGTCACATGGGCGCCGACCTTCAGCATGACGGGCCGCTCCTCCTCAGTGTCAATGGGGACATTGGTGCTGGTCACCCAGGTGTTGGTACATAGGTGCCTCAGCCTCACGTAGGAGTTCCTGGAAGGAGAGGCAAACTCAGCTCATCTTGCCAAGTGTTTGAAGACAACGATAAAGGAAGGGACGTCGGGGCAGGAGCCTAACATAAAAAAATCTGGAGCTAAAACACCTACACACCTTCATATGTGCTCTTCAGCACTCAGAGTGAAAAATTATATTTTATTTACATGGCCTGTCAGTCTGTAATAGTCTATATATAATTGAAGACAATCTCAGGGAGAGAGTCAACAAAACCACAGAGAATTTCAATCTAATTACAGAGACAGCTGTAGGACAGCTCCAGGGACCAGAGTCACCAGCCCGGGGCACTGCGCGCCCCTGAAATGCAGCACCCCACTTAGACTCCACTCAATAACTGCCACCCCCAATGGGAGACTGCCGTTTCCCGGGCCAGAGTGGGCGGAGCCACAACATCAAATGACGTTTTGACCAACTTAGGGCTCTGCGGTTAAATGGTTAATGCTTATTGGACGGACCGCTGGCTATAGGATAGGTGTCAGGCTATTTGGGAATGTGGGACGGCTGGGGGGGGGGGGCTGGATGATGCCGGCTGCAGACCTGGGCACCAGGCAGTCGGCTCTTTGAAGCGTGGTGGCGTCCAGCTCAAACAGCGAGGCGATGTCATTGCCGTGGGGCACCGAGACCAGCGTATAGGCGATCTTTTCTGCGGCCGGCCGCTTCTTCTTCGAGGCTGGGGTGTTGGCATCCGTCTGGGGGAGAGGACCCACAGGGTGTCACCTGGCACCACAGAGATGTCTGGGAGCTACGCGTGACTGCAAGCAGACACAGGTTACACGTACCACGCGCACGTGAGCGCTCAGACCCTCGATCACAGGCAGGGTCTCTTACAAAGACACACACGCAGCCTCTCGCCGCCTCAGTCACACACAGATCAGACATCTCTCCGCCTGGCTGAGCCAGTAAGCTCGCAGGGGACTGCAGAGATCCAAATCCCTTTCCTCTGCATCTGCAGTGAGCGGAGCCGGCTTGCTCTCAGAGGACAGCTCATCCCCCCTCCCTCCCCAACGCTGGAGGGAGAAACCCAGAGCTCGGAATTGCTTCACATGGCACAAGTATCCAAACAACATTCACGTGAAAAGTTTAACATTCGTGCGACAGGGCGTTACACGAGCATAACACAAGCACTATCGGAGGGCATGCAATCACTAATTTTGGCCGACTTGGGAGCAGAGGCGTGCGCTATGAGATGCTAACCGATTTAAATATTCTCTTACTGCGGAAATTAAAACGGAGCACGATTAGGACCAAGCATGGCTGTTCGCTCTTAGCTGAAGGGGGCTAACATTTAGCCGGGTAAGATGGCGGAGAGCGAGGCAGAGTATTAATTAAGCGCTCGTCTATATTCACCTGTGAAGGCCAGAGTGCTCATAATTGGGGGAGCTTAGCCCAGCATTATGTAAAACACTACGGAGGTGATTCGTCATCACTGCTAATTTGCTCCCGCCCGCCGGCGCCGGTGCCCTTCGTAGGACTCGTTAAGTGGCACTGCGGTAAAAAGCCCGGCGAGACGCCGACGCCCAGAACCTGGACGGGTTTCGCCGAGAAGGCAGCAGCTGGGAATACAGACCGCAGAGGAGGAACCGTCTAATTGCTACAGATATGAAAGGTTAATAATCAGGAGCCCCAAACCTCTCTCCTCTTTCTCCCTGTTGCCCCCCCCCCGTCTTGTTCCCCGTTCTCCCTTCCTTGCTCCATCTCTCTCCTCATCTCTGCTCCTTCTCTGTCTACATCTCCCACCCTCTCTCGCTCACTCTCACGTTCGACCCCCCCCTCCCCCCTCCCCGAGTGGGTGACTCTTTCCGGGGGCTCGTGCAGACAGCACGTTCTCCCGCTCTCCTGGGTGCCCCCAGACGCAGACGTTATGTAAGAAGTCCCGTCTGCGGCGCAGCCGCTGCGGCCCTCGCAGAATACTAATACGTCAGCGCGGGGGGAGTGAGGGAGGGAGGGGCTCTCCGTCGGGGGCGCTGTGCTGCCCGCTGCCTCCGCCTTCATGCAAGAGAGAGTGGGAGTCTGCGCCGTTGCATAACTCAGGTGCGGCAGGCGCTGACGGGCAGGGAGCCTCCGCAGAACCGGAGAACCGACGGATCCGAGGGCCTGCTGGCCGGGACTCACCACTGTGCTGGGCTCCGTGCCTTCGTCCCGGTACTCCGGATTCACCTGCACAGAAAGGGCACTTTTAAACACAGAATACCATCCCTGACATTCCTTTCAAAGCGAAATCCTGTAAGATTTAGGATTTAAGTTTAAACTAATTGAAATTTAAAAAGAACCCGGCAAAGAATTAGTTACCCTTCAGATTAGAGCTTCTAGGCAGCAGCACATAAGAGCAGTGAGCTGTGAGCTTACACTTAACACTGCACTGCTGATTTTAGTTACCCATGACTGCTCCACTTCGACTTCCGAAATCAAACTTCAATTTAAAGTTTCTAAACAGTGTGTACTAAACAAAGAAGCCAACAGTCTAAGAGTAAAATTAGGGGCCTGTCGGCTCATTCTCTGGCAGTCAACAGACAAAGCATTTCCATGTGAACACTGCCCTCTGCTGGTAGTCTCACATTGTGCATCTCACTCCCATTTCAATAGTGTGGAAGTTTTTTTTTTTTTGGAGGGGGGGGGGGGGGTTTGGAGGGGAGGTCACTTCAAGGACATCTGTGATCATGACGTCACACATTTTGTATTTCAAATAAATAACGCTGAATTGTCGAGAAATACTAAGCATTTAAGCCAGGCTCCATGCTCCATTGCTTTGATTTAAAAGAAAAACCACAGGACTGCTGAGTTTTGGATTCCATGTAAAACCACTGGAACTGCAAATACAGTGATGGCAGACAAGCCCGCTCTGTACCAAGAGCCAAAACCTGCCATGAGGATTAAAAAAAACATTATAATACATACATAAGACATATCCTCATAAGTGGATTAAACACGTGTCTGGTAGTAAATTCCACATTTCAGCAGATTTGCCAGGCGATATGACGCTTTGGGCACAACATCTGCAATTACACGCTTACTGCAATGTGACTTTGCGGTCAAACAGGTAACTCTGAGAGCTCAGGGACAGCCACGCAGGCACACGAGGATGGAACAGACAGAAAGAGGTATTTCACAGTGCATGTAGCGGTTATTAAGGGTTAGAAGACACACAGATGTGTCACCCCGCCCCTCGAACTGGTCCGTTCTGTTCCGATTAGGCCATCGACCTGGTAATTGGTGCCTATATGTTCATACCTGCAGAGAACAAGTCAGGACATTCCCCCGCTACCATGCCAGGAAGGAGATTGCCAAATGAGGCTCATCCATTTTTATTACAGGAACATGCAGCAGTGTGTGGACAATAAGACAGCTTCAAACACAGATATACAACTGTAGATATGAAACAGAAAATGCATCTCCATTTGGGTTGGGGATGCAGAGTTGTCACTGACAGACTATTGGAGGGCACACCATGACGAACACGAGAACGAGCCAATCGTCCAAAAGCCGCTTACATCATCGGTTTGGCAGCGCAGTTGCAAGCTTCACGAGAAGCGGGCCACACCATTCACGAGAACTTATGAGGAGCTGTTAATTATTGAGAAATGGAGACAATTAATTAATGTATGACACTTCACTGGAACAAGAGCTTTATATCATCTAACACTTGTCTCACAAAGTCCTTACAGGACGTACTACGACGTATTTCTCGGCGCGACGTGACATGAACCATCCGAGACCCTGTTCCAGAAAGACCTTCTGGCTGGGTCAGAGGTCAGAGAGTAGGGAAGCCGTGGAAGCATAACTGAACCGGGCCGATCCTCACCTCGGCAGCCAGGTAGTTCCCCGTTGCCAGGTGTTTGAAGCGGAAGAGGCTGTTCCACTGGCCTGCCCCCCCTCTGCAGGGATCATACTGCACGACCTGCAGGAGAAAAGGTCATAGCTGACGGCTATAAAGAAGCAGGTACAGCAAACAAACACTTTCCAACATAAGACATTGGAACGGGTACAACGTAGGGCTACGAGAATGATTCCTGGTCTTGGAGGAATGTCTTATGAGGAGAGGTTAGCGGAGCTCAATCTGTTTAGCCTTGAGCAAAGGAGACTAAAGGGGGATATGATTCAGGTCTATAAGATTCTAACGGGTCTGGATGCTGTTCAACCAAATGACTATTTCAATATTAGTCTAAATACTAGAACTCGTGGACATAAGTGGAAATTAGCGGGAGAACATTTTAAAACAAATTTGAGGAAGCACTTCTTTACACAGCGTGTAGTTAG